AATATCTGCTTCATAATCTGATCCCAATACCTTGTGCTTCCAGATAATTTCATGACTCAGTAACTTCCCCAGAATCTGGTATCAAGAGTTTCTACATGGTTTTCTGGCTCTACTAATTCAATTGCATAAAGGATTGCAAGAAATCGATGCTTTCATTTAGAGTGGAATATCTAATACTCCAGAATGTATTTTGACATCACATGACAGAGTTTGAAAGATAAAGGATATGATCTCTCCTTACCAAGAAAACCAAAGTTATGCTTTAACTTGGCAGTTAATATCTAATAAGTAGGTGAATTAGGCAACGCTGTTAGTACTATGTTTTTATTATTAGTACATATTTGCAGGACATAATGATTCCATCACCATAGGAAATTGCTACAGGCACATAACACGTTTCATTTCACTTCTTCTCCCTATCCCCCTTTAATTTTTCCAGCATCAGATTCAGGTATTTATAAGACCTTATAAACTTAATTATCATAATCAAAGTTGAAATCCAGACAAATAGGCTAAAGAACATATAAAACATGCAAGACAATTTCCCTAGGTCAAAGTGCACATTTTCATTGGAGTAGACCACGTACATAGAAGTCTTTCTCTACTCCTTTTATACTTGTGTCTCCTATGAGATTTATTGAGATATTTGATTTAGGAAATCCTATGTTTGCCAAGTGATCAAACCTTCCAAATGCATACTGCGCCATTATTTCTTCATTTGAGGAGCTTTATTCCTTATAGGTGGCTTGTTTGTGTCACTTCTATTTTAATGTCTCTTATTTTCTCAACTTGAACTTGTGCACCTGGTATTGAAACCTAATGGCAAAGATTATATTGCAAAAGACACACAAGTGGATGACTAGAGGCATACCAGTGGCCATCCTGAATTAGACAATATTCTACTGTTGTAGTACTTTCTTGTTTGAGGCAAAGCCTTTTGTACCACAACTAATAACAGACATGGCATTTTCCTCTGAACCCATAGCAACGTGTGGACCATCAACTTCAGGAGTGTTACTGAGGAAGTTTGATTAGGGAGATTAAGGAGTAGGGTACAAGGCTGAGGCAGAAAGCACATGAAGCTAGGTGTCATCACACACATGACAAAAGCGTGTGTCCTTCACAGCTTTGCTTAGAGCTGACAGTGGCTGGAGGCGGAGTGAGAATTTCCTTGGGAATGTTTATGATGCTGCATTAACTACATAGGAGGGAGTGGTGTGGGAGATGCAGGCTCCCTGCCCCCTGTGCCTATGGAAGACACAGAAATAGCCAAGGGGTAGAAAGAGAAAGCAGAGATAATAAGATGACGTTACAGGCTGAAAAAGCTTAGCGATGACAGGAAAATGAGAGCAAATGTGCAGGCTTGAAGACAAAGAATTCACAAAGATTTCTGCTGCCTGGTCCATAGCGTCTGCATTTTTTTGAAAATGTATTAAATCCTCCATAGTCAATCTGAATTCCTTTGATGTTAATTAGATCAGATTGTAACTCTAAAAATATCGTTTTAATAACTTCTGACCTTCTTTAGGATTTGTTTTGTTCTATACTTTTGAAAAAATGCCGGCATGTGAATGAACCTTAGCCAGAAAATAATGACAGCTTTTCAGCACGGCCTCCACCTCTCCACCTTGAGAGTGCTGCTTCCTCAGGGACTGCTCTCCCCCGGTGCCGACCTATGCCCGAGGCTTCTGCTTCTTTCTTCCCGCCAGGGAGGGGAATCGGATTCCCTGTGAGCAGGAGCCATTGTCTGAGAGCTGGGGGACCAGTGCAGCAGGTAGAATCCTCTTGGGTACTTAGAGACTCCTCTGCCCCCTCATTCGTCAGATGTTTTTGCTCTAACTTTTACAGTCATTTTGAACTTCCGAAGACGGAGATTTTTCTTTCTTCAGTCTGTTTTTCAGTTTATGGCTGGGCTGTTGACTACTCCCGCACAAAGGGCAGCGTGTTCTGTACTTCGTCCAGGCTCCTTCTAGCAGATCTCGCTGTTCCCCAAACGAAACTTCTAACCTGCAACAATTTCACAGTCCCTATCCCCTACAAAACAACAGAATTGACTGTACTTTAAATCTTAAGGGTTTCAGCTTTATTT